CAGGGTCAGGGCTAAGGGGGGAGGGGGGGGCTGTGGGTGGGAAGCTGGCTCTCAGGGTCAGGGCTAAGGGGGGGGCTGTGGGCGGGAAGCTGGCTCTCAGGGTCAGGGCTAAGGGGGGGAAAGCCTGTCTGCCATTCCACGCTGCCACCTGCTCCGGAAGCCACCTGCAGGCACTAAGGTAAACGAGGAGCGAGGGAGCCGGGCCCCACAGGAATGAGCTTCTTATGCTCAGATTCTCGTTAGTCATTTTACAGTCCGACCTCGTTAGATTGGGGAGTGCACAGCTGCGGGCGGGATGGCGGTGCGGACCGGAGGGGAGAGGCCAGAGGGAGATCTGACCCTCCTCCAGCGCCCGCTGCCTGCCATCAGCATAAACAAAACGAAGCTGAAGGCGGGGAGGCTGAGTGAACCGCAGCCTCTTCCAAACCCTGGCCCCCGCCTGTGGGGAAGGACGTGAGTAGCTGTGATTCTTTGCTGTTGGTCAAACGAACGTATTGGGCGAGGTCTGAAGCTCAGATACGGCAAAGGTTTCTTTCAAAGGAAAAGCAAGTTTTTGGAAACTCCCATAAATCAAAGGCAGCCCCCACCCCTTACCGGGCGCGGGAGGCCGCCTGATGCGAGCGAAGACCCCCGGTGGACGGTGGACGCCGTGGGGAGACATGGAAGGAGCGCTCCCGGGCGCTCCTGGTCTGGGGCCCGGAACACGCAGAAGAACTGAGCTTTGCCCGGCCGGGTGGCTCAGTGGTTGAATGTCGACCTGTGAACCAGGGGGTCACGGTTCGATTCCTGGGCTTGCGGGCTCGATCCCCAGTGTGCGGCCTGCAGGAGGCAGCTAATCCATGATTCCCTCTCATCACTGATGTTTCTCTCCCTCTCCCCTCCTCTGCGAAACCAATAAAACTGTATTTTAGAAATCACGGAGGGAACTCACTGCCGGCAGTGAGTTTGAGGGAGCACCTGACGCAGGCTGGGTGCGGGCCCCGCAGCTGGCGACTCACACAGCCATGCCTTCCGGGTTCGCAGAGGGGATGAGCTCTACCCCCGCCCCAGGGGCGCCTTCCTGCTGGTGTGAGGAGAGCCAGGGTGCGAAAGCAGAGCTGGGACAGACAAGCAGGTCACGGTTCTCCCTCCCGCTGTGTCAGGGCATGTGGTCCCAGCTCAGCCTTGGTCTCCCTCTCTCTCTCTCTCTCTCTCTCTCTCTCTCTCTCACACACACACACACACACACACACACCACAAACGTGGCCTGTTGGGGAAGAGCTGTGTCATCTTAACCAATGGTGCCCAGCCTGCAGGTCACTCTCTGGCCAGGGCCCTGGGAAGTTCCGCTGGGTTGTCCGGTGTGCCTCGTGCTGGGGCACAGCACTACCAAGCGGCAGGGACCGCCAGTCTCCCCAGCCAGGCTGGGCAAGAGGAAGTGCTGTGAACAGAGAGCAAACCCAACCACAGGCCACTCAGAAACCCGCAAATATGCAACCGTATGCCTTGAAAACTTAGCAAGATGATGTTTCTTGTGTTTAAGGAGAAACTTGCTTTCTGGTTGGCTCCACTCCTCGGCAAACACCCTTTTGCCAACCTGAAATGGGCAGGTGCCGGACCAAGAGCTGCAGACAAAATGCACACAGTGACCCCGACCGTTAAAGGGCGCAGGGCCTATTGGGTGGAGGACAAGCCGGGAAGCAGAGCCCGCCTTCGGGAGTAACGAGGGCCACGCCCCACACGGCTGCAGCACTCAGCCCGAGTCCAGGATCCTCCTCGGTGAAAAACGAGGAAACCAAGTGATAACTCCTCTTATTCTCTGTGTCTCTAATGTATAATCTATAAACCAGAGTTCCCACTTCGGAAAGAAGGAGGGGAGAAATAAACGTTTGAAGTTTTGCTGAGTGAGTTCCAAATCTAACTTTATTACCTGGGACATTATGGCGAGGCTTTTTGACAATATGCATATAATCATTTCAAGGCTGCTTTGAAGACCAGCTACAGAAACTCCTCCTGCACAGGACTCAGCCTCTCCCTGGGCACGGACAGATGGATGGACATCTCCATAACCTACCAATGGATGGTTGGTGGTTATAATACGATCCTGTCTAATAAAGAGGGAATATGCTAATTGACTGCCCAACCCTCAAAGATGGCAGCGCCCACGGCCACACGATGGTGGCGCCCAGTCCCCTCAGTGCCCTCAGCTGCCCAGGGCTGCCCAAGGCTCAGGTAACCAGGGCCAGCCGAGGCTTGCGCTGCCGGCGATGGCAGCAGCAGAGGTGTGATGGGGGTGTAGCTCTCTCCTGATGGCTGGTGCCTCCTGCCCCTGAGGGCTCCCGGACTGTGAGAGGGGGCAGGCCAGGCTGAAGGACCCCCATCCAGTGCATGGGCCCTGAGACCTCACCTGGGCCCTGGGGCCTCCCCTGGGACCCGGGACCTCCCCTGGAGCCTCCCCTGGGACCTGGGGCCTCCCCTGGGGCCTCCCCTGGGACCTGGGGCCTCCCCTGGGACCTGGGGTCTCACCTGGGACCTGGGACCTCCCCTGGAGCCTCACCTGGGCCCTGGAGCCTCCCCTGGGACCTGGGGCCTCCCCTGGGCCCTGGGGCCTCCCCTGGGGCCTGGGGCCTCACCTGGGGCCTGACCTGGGCCCTGGGGCCTCCCCTGGGCCCTGGGGCCTCCCCTGGGGCCTGGGGCCTCACCTGGGACCTGGGGCCTCCCCTGGGACCTGGGGCCTCACCTGGGACCTGGGGCCTCCCCTGGGACCTGGGGCCTCCCCTGGGACCTGGGGCCTCCCCTGGGACCTGGGGCCTCCCCTGGGACATGCTTGCCACCTGCGATGACCACACAAGACCATGGAGAGCGATGTGGGGTAAAAATAAATCCTAGTGAGCAGGCACACTGGCAAACATGGAAGCCATGAGTAGGTGAGCCGGCCACCGGGAAGGGACAGCCTCTGCCTTCTATTCTGAGAAGCAGCAGTGGAGGCCGTGGCCCGGGAACGTCTTGCTTGCCTGGAGGCCGCAGGCGGCCGTTGGCAGCTGCCCCCCGCGGCCCTGGTTCCTGCGGAGGAGAAACTTAAGCACAGCCCGAACCCCTCTGCGTGAAACCAAACCCAGCCTGCGTCCCGCTATCCACCGCTTGGATGTGACAGGCGCTGTGCTCAGCGATTTACACGCATCGCTGAGTTACGCCCCCACCGGGACAGCCGGGCAGCGCACGCAGCCCAGCCATCACCGGGCGTTAAGGTGGCAGGTGAGCCTGGGGCGCAGGTCGGGGTGACCCGGGGCCCAGCTCCGCGATTCTGATTTTTTTTTACAAAAAGGCCTGACTCCCCACGTTACATTTATGATAACATTGCACAGATTTGTACATTCAGAAATAGACTTACCAACCACAACCCTGAAGCTGGTCTGATACTGGCCGACAGCAGAGAGCATCTGACCCTCTGGGCATCTGGTGTGCGTCTGGCTTCCTTTAGTCTGTATCGAAGGGCAGAGCTAATGCATTAGGTAAGGCCATTTTTTTTCCCTCAAGAGATGTGGATGCCTCTTAAGAATTTGATGGAAATGCATTAACTTTTCAGGCTACTGAGCTGCATTTCAGTGCGCCGAGGCAGTAACTGAGCGGACGGTGTGCGGAGCAGCTAGCGACCTACAATGAATGAATGTCTGATACGGAGCACGGCACTCTCCTGGGGAAGAAAGTAAGGGGTTCGCTCTCCGAGGGGCCCTCAGCTGCCCCAAAGGAGCGGGAGGCAGCCCTGCTCCTGGCCGGGGGGCCGCAGGGCTCCCGGCTCCCGAAGCTCAGAGGGAGAGCCCGCCCCTCGGAGGCCGCTGAAGGTGCGAGCACAGCGCCTGCCGCTGCTCCGACTTCCCCCCGGAGCCCGCCAGGGGTGTGCCCTCTGGTCAAAGTGAGAACCGGCAAAGGGGTGTGAGTCCTTCACAGCGTGGGGGGATGGGTGCCTTTGATGGGGGGCGCTTCCCTTGTGAGCTCACATGTTCTGACGGAGTTTCTGGGGGACAGACCACATGCCTTGCTTTTACCACCGGCACCGGAGGCAGATGGAGTGGGTGCTACACTGCTGGTCAGGAAGCTCACTCTCTCTTGTTCTGAGTTCAGGAATTTTCTACTGGCTCACAGTATGCTCTCAGTAATAAACTATGAAGCAGTACGTCTTCTGAGAGATACTTGCCTGCAATTTTAGAATAGGAATAAAAATAATAAAAAAGCACAATTTTTATATGAGTAAAAGATACTAAATTATTTTTAAAAAATCCCATGTGCACTATAACACTATGATAAGTATGATTTCCAACATGTGCTAAAAAATGTATTCAGGAAGGAAAGTTTCTCAAATTAGAGCTGAAAACCTTTTACTAAGTATGACAACCTTGACTTTTCATTCAGCTCTTCCTAATTGAAATTTACATTTTCCTAATTTCACAGGACTGAAAGTAATGTAATACAACAAATAATTTTTTTTACTTCAAATGCCTGCTTAAATAGCATAAAATAATTTTTAGCTCTTGAGAAATAACATTTCAACCTGTAAAATAGGCAGTGTGAACTGAGACTTACTTGTTGCAATTATAGCTTCCGAGCCCCACATGTATGATGAACAAGTCCGAAGTGCAGTTCGTGTTATTGTTTACATACTTTCATTTCTCCATCGTCACCTCTCTCTCTCTCTCTGCCGATCTGCAGATTTATTTCTTTCATGGAGCACCCAGATGCACCAGCTCGCCCCGGCCTGTAACGGAACACTGCCTGGTGGCTTGTGACAGACAGGGTTTAACCTCTGACAGCGAGATTCATTGTGGAGCGGGAGCCAATCACAGGCCCCGACGACACTGGTCTCATCCAAGTCGGAATATAAAAAGCCACTTGGAAGACGGCGTGCAAGATTCCCCGGGGTGGCCACGGGTGTCTCCGACTGTCCAGGCATCACGCTCTGCCTGCCGTTACTCAAAAGCGACGGAGGGAGCAGGGACCAGGGGAAGCCCGCACAGCTCGCAGCCATGCAGAAGCTGCAGGTCTGTGTGTCCATCTACCTGTTCGTGCTGATCGTGGCAGGGCCCGTGGACCCGAGCGAGAACGGCGAGCAGCCGGGCGAGGTGGGGCGAGAGGCCCCGCCGTGCAACGCGTGCGCCTGGAGGCAGAACACCAAGTCGTCCCGGATCGAGGCCATCAAGATCCAGATCCTCAGCAAGCTGCGCCTGGAGGCGGCTCCCAACATCAGCAAGGAGGCCGTCCGGCAGCTGCTGCCCCGCGCGCCGCCGCTGCGCGAGCTCATCGACCAGGACGACGTGCAGCGGGACGGCGGCGGCGAGGGCTCCCTGGAGGACGACGACTACCACGCCACCACCGAGACCGTCATCGCCATGCCCAGCGCGCGTGAGTACCCCCGCGCGGCCGCGCCCTCCGGGGCTGTGCCAGGCTCCGTGACAGCGGGGGTGTGGAGGGAGGGCCCGCAGCTTGGCTCTGTTTGCCCGGGATTTCAGAGGGCGGCACGGGGAGACTCGGAGCTGAGGGTGCGGGCCAGGCACCTGAGGGTGCAGGTGCCCAGGCTGTCACAGCCACCGGCAGGGGCAGCCAGGAGGGGAGCTCCAGGCCACGCCACCACGCGCACGGAACCACGACTGCATGTGGTTGCTTGAAACATGCATGTGTGGTGATGAGGTTTTTCACTGAGAACAGGGACCGGGGACTCGGGGACTCGGTGAGTCAGAGCCCAGCTGAGCATTTGCCGGCACCTGGAATGACTCCTGGACCTCAAAACCCTTCCTCACTGGGTGTCTGTGTTCCTGGCAAACGAAACTATTTCATTTTAAAAGCGATCCCGTGGAGAGCAGGAGGAAATACTTCCTAAACGCGATGTATTAAGAAGTGCGATGACAAGGCATCATGATTACCCTGAGCTAACGACGGGGAAATGCCTGAGAAATAGGCACGGCAGCCGAGCGGGTCCTGGCTCACAGCCTCCGCAGACCTGGGCCAGGTGCAGGCTGCAGGGCCGGCCTGCACAGTTCCCGCGGATTTCTGAGGCATTTCCCAGCTCCTCAGCGAGGGGGGCGGCATCGGGGCAGCGACCTTGCTCCCCAAAGAGAATGCATTTCATACAGTTGCTTCTGCAGCCCGTTCAAACCTCATCCGAGGAGGGGAGCAGGCACCTCCAGAGAAGCGGGACAGAAAGGCTGCTGCCATGTGTGGGTGGACTCGCCTTCCGCAGTGCTCTCTGCCCTTTAACCCGTCAGCACGGGCTCCACAGTTCTCCTGGCCCGGCCACCGGGTGGAAACGCAGCCCAGGCCTCTCCTGCGGGCTCGTTACCAGCGGGTCCGGGAGCCGCTCTGCCTCATTCTAAACCGTCTCAGGGACGCCAGGCGGAGAGGCAGGCCTCAGGGCTTCTCCTCCGGCAGCCTGGCACCACAGACGTGCCTTCCAGCTTTGGACACGGCCCCAGCGCAGCCTTTCCCTCTGGTGCGGATTACCTGCCCGGTTTCGACCCGCTCACATGCTATTCCCATTCCAGAGCCCGGAGCTGGCGGGGCACTGCTTTCTGCTCGCCCCCGCGCGGCTGGCCGTGTCCCCAGGTAGTTCAGGCTGGGGGCAGGGCTCCTCCGCAGACTGACTGGTGCAGCTGCTCAGAGTGTAACTGCTCAGATTCCCAAAGAATTCTAAGTGGATGTTCCTGCACGGTGTCTCCTGTTCTCTCTAATCATCGTCGTTTTAAATCGCATCCGCTGCTGCTTCCTTCTCAGGGTTTCCCCCGTCCACGGTCCTCTGGAAAGGGAGCAGATTGCTCATAAACAGCTGAGAAAACATCTGAGAAATTCTGAAGAACTAGAGTCATTCTTTCCTGGGACATTTTTCTGAGTTATGAATGAAAGTCTCCCATTTTTCATCTTAAATGACTAAACAGACATTCATTAATCCAAGAGAAAAAAAATACCAGTTAATATGAAAAGGTTTGTTCATTTTTTTTTTATGAGAAATAATTTTAGTAACTCTTTTTCCAACTCATTTTTAGCTGATCTCCTGACGCAAGTGGAAGGAAAACCCAAGTGCTGCTTCTTTAAGTTCAGCTCCAAAATCCAGTTCAACAAAGTGGTCAAGGCCCAGCTGTGGATCTACCTGCGGCCCGTCAGGACGCCCACGACCGTGTTCGTGCAGATCCTGAGGCTCGTCAAGCCCATGAAAGACGGGACGAGGTTCACGGGAATCCGATCCCTGAAACTCGACATGAGCCCGGGCGCCGGCATTTGGCAGAGCATCGATGTGAAGACCGTGTTGCAAAACTGGCTCAAACAGCCCGAATCCAACCTGGGCATTGAAATCAAAGCTTTAGACGAGAACGGCCGTGATCTCGCGGTGACCTTCCCGGGACCCGGCGAGGATGGGCTGGTGAGTGAGGATGGGCAGCCTCTGAGGTCTCATCGGGATGGGAACAGGTCAGAGTGGAGGAGAGCCACAGGCGCCTCTGCTCCCGGCCAAACACGGTCCCTCAGCCCTGTACCCAATAAAAGTGGGTGTCTGGTTTCACACCGCCGGAACACCCTCCTGATAGTTTTACTTCGCATCAGGGTTTTTTAAAAAGCTATCCCACAGCCCTTAGCTTCTTGGGGAGTTCTTCTGAATGATTATTGAATACAAGCATGCAATCTTCAGAGTGGATCCGAGGACACACCCAAGACACTTCAGCTCCCTCTCTCCCTGCCCCAGAGTGCAATGTGTTGGATTCTTTTTGCCTTAATAAAGCATAAAAAAGCTTTGTAAGTTATAATGAAAATAAAATGCTTTTATTTATAGCAATAAACTAAGTACAATATGTTTAGTCTTATACACTATATTAAAGGTCCCTCATAAGTATGTTCATTATTTTGTAGGCTGTTTATATATTTGTAGGTGCAAATGTATATGTAGGTTACTTTGTGACTCATGCTAATAAAATGTAATGCTCAGGCTAGTTACCCTGAGCTGCCTAGGCTATTTCTGAGCTGCCTTCCCATTCAAGAGTAAATAAATATTCAGGAGTCTACTTAGGTAGGGTCTGCCAACTAATTTCATATCAGGCCAAGCAGATGACGATGCCCTATAATTTATAAAAATTAATAAAAACAAGTGTAAATTTAGAACAGTAGATAAAAATTTAGAACTTTTCTGTTCACTTACGCTTGTTTACAAAAATGGATCAATGTGACCATATTTTCACTTCATCTATTGATATGATTTACAACAAAAGATTATACTTGCAAGCAATAAATGTTGCTTTTTTAGTTTTCTTACTAAGTGGTATTAAGTCAGCTCTACTTTAATGAAAACATATTCTTAAAGAAATGATAGAATTTTTCAAATGACCTATTTTTTTTTAACTATGCTACATAAAATGTTATTGACTCTCAAAATGATGTTACTGTTTTTATAATCTTAAATAACAATGACTGGTAGGTATCTTTTGATTTTGGTGTAGGATAAGAACAATTATTCATTATATGAGAAAGTGTTCTTTTTATAAGTAGCATTTTAATGATCAGAGTTGGTGATGTGATAGACTTCAGTTATTATTAAACAGGTGGTTAATAAGACATATTTCTTAGAGTTTTTCATGTAGAAAGAAACAGTCTCAAATGCATTAAAAGATTGGTACAGGGGAAGGGTTAGAAAATGATTTTCTAAATATCAGATTAGAAACTTCTTTCAGTGAAAGAATAAAGGAAACATTACCGGACCTTTTTCTGCATCTTCTCTCAGAGTTTCTCTTTCCAACTCACTCATACCACCTCCTTCACCACCTCCCTTCCCTTTCCCATTGCATTCCCCCCAGTGCTGGGGTAACTACTAGATTCTGCTTTCATCCCCACGTTTCCGCGAGTGGGAATGGGTGCGTGTGCCTCCCTTCCCAGGAGTCCGTGGACAGAGCCCTGGTATTTGATCAATAAGAGAGAAGAGAGGGGGTGACCTCGCCTCTTCCCTCTTCCCCCTCTCCCTTTCTTCTCATAGTCTATACACATTTCTGGAGCATCCACTAGACGCACAGGGAAACCTGTGTTGCTTTTGTATAAGGGAAGACTCGATCCTAGTGTACATCACAATTCCCCAATTCTGTGCCCTTTAGAAATAAACGTGTGTAAGCAGTGTCTCTTCAATAATGACTTCTCCAGACAGGCCGGTGTTTCAGCACCCGTGGGTGGTACTGACTGCTCTTTCCTCTCTATCCAGAACCCCTTCCTGGAGGTCAAGGTGGCAGACACACCCAAGAGATCCAGGAGAGATTTTGGCCTCGACTGTGACGAGCACTCGACCGAGTCGCGCTGCTGCCGCTACCCGCTGACGGTGGACTTCGAGGCCTTCGGCTGGGACTGGATCATCGCCCCCAAACGATACAAGGCCAACTACTGCTCCGGGGAGTGCGAGTTCGTCTTCCTGCAGAAGTACCCTCACACTCACCTAGTGCACCAAGCAAACCCGCGGGGCTCGGCGGGTCCCTGCTGCACCCCCACCAAGGTGTCCCCCATCAACATGCTGTACTTCAACGGCAAAGAGCAGATCATCTACGGGAAGATCCCTGCCATGGTGGTGGACCGCTGCGGGTGCTCATGAGACCGGCATCGGTTTGTAGCTTCCTCAAACGTGGGAGGCCTCCCCCTCAGCTATTCTGAAGCTGTGAATTATGTGCCTCAGGCTCTAAGCCTACAGCATGCTACCGTCACATAAGCACACACGACAGGACATGAACTAAAAGCGAGCATATATGCAATGATTGGCATTTAACCATCAAAACAAATCGCACACTAGAAAGCTCTATGAGTCCCGGAGTTTTGAACTAGGAGGTCAGATTACACGTAGGTTCATACATGCAGCATGACACACGTAGGCAGCTAGCTGCGAGGAGCTCCCCTTGCGTCCTAGCGGATGGAAGGAGAGCTGTGATTCATCCTCTAGAGTTGCATTTAGCATCTACACAAGCTCGATAGGTAGGATTGGGAAGCGAGCGCTGTTGTGTTCTATTGTTTAAATCGGCCTTCCACACTTGAACTTACATTGTCTGATAGAATGCTTGGTAAGAAGAAATTCCACAAAAACAGGGATGGGACACACTATGCAAGCCCTACGCCTGTGTTCATTGGTTCGTACATAACAATCCATGCCATGGTGCTAATACAGCAGACTGAGCGGCCATGCATCAGGTTAGCAGAACAAACCTCAGCAAGATGAAGAGCTAGTCCTTTCTGCAGGCACACGTCCCTAGACCTCCCCGTGGGGAATGCATTTCCTTTAGGACAAGAAGAGCTGTTTTTGTAGTATGCTTGGAGAAACTGATTTGTCTTAAAAGGTAGCCAGGAAGTATTCATTTCTATCACAATTTCCAAATTCCAAAAATTTACAGCGTGCCTTTGCAACACTGCAGTTTTTATGATAAAGTAATAAAAATGACAGATCCTATCAATATTGTATAAAAGACTTTGAAACAACTGCATTTATATAATGTGTATACAATTTTTTTGTGTGTGTAAATAAGTGTCTCCTTTTTTATCTACTTTGGTATATTTTTACAGTAAGGACATTTCAAATTAAGTATGAAGGCACAAAGACATGTCTCATCTGACAGAAATGCAACTGCTTATATTATACTTCAGATAAATTAGCAAATAAAATAGTGGTCTTAAAACTCACATGCTAATGGTTAGATGGTTACATTACAATCATTTTCTATTTTTTTACATTACAAACATTCACTTATGGATTGATGAGGGCTGTAAAATATGAATGTGAAATTTCCACAGTTTACTTGTCATTGCACTCAAATCTCAACGTTCCATTATTTTAATACTTATAAATATCACTGAGCATACCAAAATGACTTCATCCTGTCATCTGAAATACAGAATAATAAGCTGATGATCTTAATAAGAACTGTTAATTTTGTAATTCAATAATGAATATATTTCTGCATATATTTACTTCTGTTTTGTAAATTAGCATTTTGTTCATCAAATTCATTGTACTTATGATTAAGTGAAATTATTTCTTACATGTAATGTGTAGAAACAATATAAATTATATTAAAGTGTTTTCACCTTTTCTGAAAGACAATTTTAGGTTACGAAGATTAATTCTGGATGTCTGGTTTTCACTTTATTATTGGAGTCAAATGGCTCAGCACACAAGTTTGCTTGGGACTTTGAGGTCTGCTCCTCTGGTTCTCATGAGTGAGCTTCTGTCCACTTGGTCCTAGTCAAGCTGCTTGACACATAAAAGCAAGGACTGGCTTTATCTGCTTCCTTTCTCTTTATCGTGACCTGAAAACTATTTATATGTTTTCATAGGTTCACTTTCCAAATGGTGGCAGCTGGCAGTGCCCGTGGTCCTAGGGTTACTCGGCTGCCTCCGCCTCGCTCGCACTGACCGGCACATTCCTCCGGGCCGAGCGGCACCAGTCCCCAAGGGGGTGAAAACAGTGATAAAGGGCCCCTTCACCTGAGTGCAGCCTGCGCCCGTCTTTCCGACTGCACTCCCCTCGGCACCCTCCGCCGTGAGGGACGTGGCGCAAAGCAGTCGCAGGTGATGAGCATGCCATGGAGGGTCATGGCTCCTGGATGCTAATCTCTCACTCACAGGAATGCAATCTTTAACCAGTGGTGTACAGCCACTGCCACTCCTTTGGCTGCTGTGAGCACTGACGTGTGTCACACTGGGGGGCTGGCGCAGAGGGCTGCCCTGTGCGGGGAGGCCTCTTGCAGCACACACTGGGACCTACCTCTTCCGGGACCTGAATGTCTAGGTCTGTGGTCGGCAAACTCATTCGTCAGCAGAGCCAAATAGCCACAGGACAACGATTGAACTTTTTTTTGAGAGCCACATTTTTTAAACTTAAACTTCTAACGCCACTTCTTCAACATAGACTTGCCCAGGCCGTGGTATTTTGTGGAAGAGCCACACTCAAGGGGCCAAAGAGCCGCATGTGGCTCGAGAGCCGCAGTTTGCTGACCATGGGACTAGGTAATAGGCCCATGCATGTACATAGGCTGGAATACAAGTAGCCGGAGACCGTGACTTCTAAGGGGGAACGTGTGGAGGGAGCACCTCTGTTTCCTAGGAGCCACCCCCAATCGTTAGAGTGCCCTTTACCTGGGCCCAGGTCCCATCACCACTGTCCCCGGGGCGGCCCTCTCGTGAAGCCCCCAGGACCGGGGAGGAGGCGACCGGACACTCTGAGACGGGCCTGCGCACTTCTGCGCGCGGGGTCCTAGCAGGTGCGGGCGTTCTGCCTGGCCGTCCGCGGTGCGGCATTCGCATCTCAGCACCCTGAGGACACGCACGTGTACCTGCAATCCTAATCCCTGAGATTGAGAAGACATCATGTGAAGCTCAATGCACTGTATCAGGTTTAATATTCTGAATTTTTTTTTTTTGTAATACTTCCCACAAATTTAGATGAGTTAAAAATAATAAAAATAAAGAGAAAAACCTTTCCAAACTCTACAGTTCTTTTTATATTCAAGCTGGTTTTTGCAGTTCTGTATAGAACTTTATTTCATTAAAATAAAGAAGGCAATAATTTGACATTGGCAGTAACTAAATTAAAACTCACTTAAAACTCCCCCCCTCCTAAAAATCCAATTTATTTCACTTTAAGCCACGACTCACAAACATTAGCATGTCATTAACCCTTTTGAAATCTGTTGAAGACTAGGACACTCTCATAAGAAAAAAACACACACATAAATTTGAACATAGTATCAGGGAATTTAGGTCCTTTCTACAGCCCATTCATTGAACCTAGTTTATAAACCCTTAGGAGGGATACTGAGTTTTCCTTCTTAAGATAAAAATTGTTATTTATGAACTAATAAAGTGTATTTGTAAAGATGTGCTTTCTAATTAATTAGTTTTGTCATTAAACCATGTGAGTGCTGGAAAAGGAAAAGGAATATCAAATCACTGGATGTCTTTTTTCATAATATACTAGAGGCCCAGTACACGGATTCGTGCACTGGTGGGGTCCCTCGGCCTGGCCTGCGGGAACGGGCTGAAACTGGTTCTCCAACATCCCCCGAGGGGTCCTGGATTCCAAGAGGATGGTTCTCAGGTGACACACCCCGCTCCTTCCTCTTTGGTTCCCGGTGCGTCACCTAAGAACTGCAGCTGCCAAGTCACCACAGCTCGGCAGCTCCTGTGTTGAACATCTGGATGGTTAGCTGGTTAGCTGGTCGGCTGGTTGCTTAGGCATATATATATATGTATATGTATATGTATATGTATATGTATATGTATATATGTATGTATATGTGTGTGTGTGTGTGTGTGTGTATATTTTTTATTTTTATTTTTTTTTATTTTTTTATTTTTTATTTTTTTTCCAGAGAGGAAGGGAGAGAGAGCTAGAAATAACAATGACCATAGAAAATCATTGATCAGATGCCTCCTGCATGCTTCCCACTGGGGATTAAGCACACAACCAGGGCCTGAGCCCTGACTGGGAATCAAACCAGGACCTTCTGGTTCAAAGGTTAATGCTCAACCACTGAGCCACACCAGCCAAGAAAGTCACTGGATGTCTTAACTTATTTATTAAAGTATTCTATGCTTCTTTAAGGATCATATAATCTCCAACTGGTAACTTTTTGATAGATTAAACTGGACAAATGAGTTCAAATTATAAACTCATGCTCTTTTTATGTATCAAAAACAAAATCAAGAAACAATCCAGATAATTCTGAGTGTCAGAATTAGTAGGGTATGAAATGATAATATTTATTCAGTACCAGATTTGTGCCAGGAACTTTTCTAACATGCTCAGTGTGGGATACATCAGTGTCCCCAACTTACAGACGAGAACTCGGAGGAATAGAGACAATAGGAGGTATGTCAGTGGCGGGGCCTGGATTTGAACTAAGAGCAATATGATTCATTATGCTGGTTACAACAGCTCTTCACCAAGCCCTAACAGAAGAATGAAACTCTGCTTTTTCGTGTCTGCGTTTTGTAAGATAGCTTTATCTGGATTCAGCACTGGCTTTGCAGTGTGGCTGCATTTCAGTGAAGGAGGAAGAGGGGTGTGAATGAGAAGAGGGTAAAGAGCAAGTGATTGGCATAGCAGATACATACATCCACAGGCACGGAAATGAGCTGGTGTCGGATGTGAGAGCTGGAAGGCCTGAGAGTCATCGAATTCACATGTGACAGGACGGCAGCCTAGAGAGGACTGTCCAAGCGCATGCTGTGATTGGCTCAGGGAACAGAACGCTGGAGCAGAGGGATGCTGGTCCGCATGTAAGGAACGAGCCCAAAGGCAAAGAACAGAAGAGCTAAAACCAAGAATTATTAGCTGGGAAGAGGCAATGCTGGACACTAGTCATGCCCACAGGAGTGGAATAGTTTACATCTGTCCACACAAATCTAGCAGCCTGGGCATCTTTCTAGACAAACGGACTCTGGAGGGAAATCCCGGGAGTGTGTGATTACACCGCTGCTTCATTGGGAAGAAGGATAAAAATTGAAATAGTAATCAGTTTTCAAAGTGCTTTCACATTAATGATGTAATTTTACCTCTACAATGCTGAAAGTTAAGAATTATTACACCCATGTCATAGAGGAATTGAGGCTGAAAGAAATTAATCAACTTGCCCAAGGAAACATAGCATTGAATATCTGTATATTAACTATACAAGAAATAGAAATGTATCAATTATACTTCAATTAAAAAATAGAAATATAAATCAGTGTTACACTTGTTTGATCATTTATTACAACAGTACTTATTAAAAATGTAGCATGATTTTAAAAAAATCCATTAAAAATAACAAATGATAACTTAAAAAAATAAAACAAATACTACCCCAAAATATAATTAATAAATTAAAACATATACTACAATGTGCTATAAAGTCATGACTAGCCTGGCATGTGACATGTGGTGTTGAAATTTCATTTCCATGGTCATTCAGTTCCAGCTTACACACTGCAAAACACATCAAACATTACTAATTTTGGTCATCCTGAGTAAGACATCAAGCAATGCAGAATGGCGCTAAATTTAGTTCATTCACGCCCGGGTGGGATTTTGCAGAGGAAGTCTTTGGAAAATGAACACATTTTCAGTAGACTGCATGTACTAGCAAGACGATCTTTATTGCCATTTAAAACGCAAGACAGAGGGAATATTTACATGTACTTCGACATATCAAACACTCAATGAATAAATATCATATCCTGTCAAAACCACAGGATGCCCAAGAATGTAAGATTTTACTCATGAGGCTGCTCATTTTATCTGATAGACATAAATGTCTGTGTAAAAGCAGCGGCATCTCTCTAAAAATCCTATCTAATGAAAGAGTAATATGCAAATTAACGGTCACTCTGCAACAAAAATGGTGGTGCCCATAGCCAGTCCTCTTAGCTCTGCTGGAGTCCCCCAGTCTGCCCAGCGGTAGCAACCCGGGGTGTCCGGCTGGGAGGTACCAGTACCCGGCACAATCCCCAGCCAGCGGTGGCACCCTGGGCTGGGGTCTCAGCCTGGCCGGGGCACACACCCCCTTGGCACCATCCCCACCAGGCTGAGGGGGCAGCCTGGGCTGGGGTCTAGCCTGGCCAGGGTGCGATCCCCTTCCAGCAGTGGCAGCCTGGGGTCTCAACCTTTGAGTCACACCAGCCAGGCAGAGATGGAGGAATCTTAAATGTTTCTTTTTAAAATATATATATTTTATTGATTTTTTACAGAGAGGAAGGGAAAGGGATAGAGAGCTAGAAAAATGGATGGGAGAGAAACATCGATCAGTTGCCCCTGTATACCCCCCATTGGGTATGTGCCCACAACCAGGTACATGCCCTTGAACAGAATCGAACCTGGGACACTTGAGACTGCAGGCTGATGCTCCATCCACTGAGCCAAACCAGTTAGGGCTGACCAACATGCTAAAGAAAAAATTCTATCTAATAAAGAGGGAATATGCAAGGGAGGGCATTTGGGGGTGACCAGGTTGTCAGGGGAGGGCAGTTGGGGATGATTGGGCTGGCAGGGGAGCAGTTAGGAGTCAATCAGGCTGGCAGAGGAATGGTTAGGGGGTGATCAGGCTGGCAGGC